AGGAGAGAGTAAAGAAAGAAGGATAAAATACAGAACTAATAACTATAAAGAAGGGTAAGAAGAACACAGAAATTCAGCTAATCCGGTAGCTCAAGTGCATTACATCACATTCAGAATTAAATAAACCAATAGACACAGGTTAGGCTGTGAGAAGGCAGTGATGCCTCAAAACTACAAAGTTTCTCTTTTTTTCTCCCGTTCCTCATCAATTCATAATTGTTGGGAGGGACTCGGGGTGGGACATGCACTATCCGTTGAATGTGAGCTTGAATGGGTCTGTTTGTAGGTAGTTCATCTTATTATAAGGAAATTTCACTTTGAAGATAAGTGCTTCAATTCCAGGATCCTCGTATTTTCAGGTAAAGGTTGGCGACAGAACTGCAGTTGTCACAGCTAATGCAGAGACTGTGGCTGTTCAGCCTGTTGGTATTCAAGAAGCCATTAATGCTGAAATAGGTAATTCACATCAACTTACTTATCATGGTGAATTTACAAATTTGTGATTAGTTTTTGTTCTAATAGAAGGAGATGTAAGTGTGTCTCTCCCTTGCTTCCCCCCTCGTGGTTGTAGCAGGAATTCTTAGCTTCTATGTTTTCCAGTAGCACAAAATTCATGTTGCAGCCTCCATAAACAAATGTTGAACTTCAATGTTCAACCAAGAAAAGTTAAAAGGAACCCACAGCTTGTCTAGCTGCTTATTTCTTATGGCCCCCTATATGTACATCGCATTGACTTATCATGCGTTACAAGTGTCTTATCTTGATCAAATATGTCAATATGTGCAAATTTTTGTCGTTGAATGCTCTCTAATTAGCTATTAAACCCTTTCTTAATTTTTTTTGATCCAGCAAAGTATCCCCGAGGACGATGTTTTATTAGACCATCTGGGACAGAGGATGTTGTAAGAGTATATGCTGAAGCAACCACCCAGGATGCTGCAGATGCACTAGCCTCTTCAGTTGCAAGACTTGTGGATCAGTATCTTGGTTCTGGCACTGCTTGATTAAACTCGCTAACAAAATAGTAGTCAGAATTTTGATATTTTTAACTGCTCTTTAGCAGATGAAATACTGAACTATCTGATAAAAATTCATCGTTTTCTGTCTGTTTTGGGTGTTAGTGGGATGTGTTTATGGTCCTTGACCTCTCTCTTGTAGAATTGTTGAAAAATATTTGGAAACATATTGTAGTTAATAATTATATACTTTAGCATTTTTTGTAAACTACTTTTGATAATTGCATCTCCATTTTTATGTATATTGCTCAAACTTTGTATTTCCATTTTCCATTTCTCTGACCTGATCAATTCTGAATTCTTCCCTTAAGATTTTGTTTGGTTGATTGAAGTTTGAACATAGTGTTCCAGTTTGACTCTAAATCATTTTTTTAAAAGGGAAATTTCTTAGAGTTATGGTCTTAAACATGTCATAATATTTGTGTGGCTATAAAAACTTAGAATGAAAAAGTTTCTAAATATTATATTGTGTCATTCTTTTTGAAACGGGCTAATAAGGAAATAATATTAGATACAAAGGGAGTACTAATATTGAACTTGAATTGACAGCATGGACCATGATGATTCAAAAGCTTGAAATCATTGATGATTCAATCGTCTAGTTCACCTTAAGCTTAAAGAATGCAAAGTTACCACATCAAGTCAATCATTGTCACATATCGAGAAGATTCATATTTCTCGAGTGTCCGAGTTTATTTATGACACGAAACAACTTGCAATATAGGTCTAGCATATCGATACAATCGAGAAAACTCAGGAGGTGCAGTAGCTGTTATTTCCATAACACCTTGTAACATTTGCAATGTGACTCTACCTACTACCAAGACAAATAATAACTTATAAACATCCATTCAGACTACAGAGATATCAGCATTTAGAGAAGACAACAGTAAGCACTAATTTCTCAAAACACACAGTTAGAGGAGGCCTTCCCAGGCCAATGGTGTCCAAAAAGCACCAATCTTGAATTATATCGATAGTGCATCTATAAAGTACACCCACAAATGAAACTACATATCATGTGTTTTCAGATTAGTTGTTTCAATTTTATCAGATGTGAAACGATATTCGCCCCTTCATAGTGGAGCTGTCTTGGATAACCTATTTCTTACCGGTCAATCTTCTAAGGAGAAGAGAAGATTAATGAACATTTGTACCCACATGGTTCTGAAGTCATGAAAGTTGAATCTTTTATAGTATCACACCAACAACCAAAGCGTTCAAGCATATGAAAACAGAGGAAATCAATGAGATATAGCAAGTTATTCGCCAGACTCAAACTTTACAGTAAAAAGAACCACTTGCGAAACCATGACAACCTTGGAAAGCCTCAATTACGTTGCAAAACACCTTTTTAAGAGTATTTTGTAGAGTTATTATCACGTTTACAACACTACAACAGAAAAATTGCAAAACACTCAAGACTCATATCACATGAAAAAGTCTCTTCGGACTTCACAAACTTTAAGCAACCCCAACTCAAAAGAAGGCTCACCATGGAGAATATTCAAATGCCCAAGAGAAACTGTAAACTTATAAGGATACATAAACATAGAGCACATTTGCACTTGACTGCACCACATTTCTTCGTCTAACTATCAGAAGAAACTTTGCCATACTTGTTGAAACAATACAGACAGTAAGGAAGAGGAAAAGAACCACAAGAAATACATACCCTTCTGTTTTCAGATTAGAAAGCTCTCTTGTTTATTGATTCTTAAGAACTCAACCGACCCTTCCCCTTCGAATCAAACTAACAAAGAAAGGAATCCCGTTGAGTTCTTACCCTTTCATGTTCACAACTCAATTCATTCAATTACTACAGGGACGAATCCAATCGGGAAAATGAACCCTAAAAGAAAAACCTATTAAACCAATCACAGAGTTCTCACATAAACTGTCCATTGAAATTTCTTGGAAGATACAGTGCCATAAAATTGTAACTAGTTAGCTTTTGTCTTCTCCTTCAGCTTCTTCCTAGTCATATGACCATAGCTAACATTCCCCTAAGCTGCCTCAATTTCAACACCATACCCATATAGTCGGGAGTGTAGAGTGTACGTAGTCCTTAACCCTACCTCAAAGGTAGAGAGGTTGTTTCCAATAGACCCACAGCTTTCAGCTTTCAACCATGATCCAAGCCTCCGATTAACCGACATATATCAACTAACCATCAATCCCTAACTAATTGGGATGGGCTACATAAATCATGCTCTAAAAGAAAAGCTGTTAAGGGAAACAAAACTCAGAATAGCAGCCACACAAACTTAAAAACGAAAATAAAAAAATGCATCCAAAAGCTATAATCAAGAACATGAAATCAATAAATTACCCAACTAAATTAGGGTTTTTTCATTACGCCATGTTCAGTAAATTACACTAAATTCAGCAAAAACAGAACCTTTTTTTTCAACTAAAAAACTCAGAATCACAAATCTTCCTCACGAATTCCATACAAGCTCTTTCCTTACCCCAATCAGAAAACCACTCGAAATTGGGGAGCATCAGACCCACTCGCCGGCAAAAGCTCCCAACGGCAAGGCTCGAGCTCGTCAGAAACAGGACAATATCCGGCAAGTGTGACCTTATCAACAGAAGCAGCCACCGACCCAAATTCGAAAACGGTTATGTCGGTCGGCGGCGGGTTGGGCCTTGAAACCTCAACAGCTCCGTTCATGCCGGGAACCTCCGGCTTGTCGGAAGAGATTTGGGTTTTCGGGTCGGGTTTCTGGGTTGTTTTAGGGGTTTCATTTTTGTCGCCTTTCCACCATGACAGAATCCCCATGGCTATTCGCTGCTTACACACTGTAGTGCGGATAATCGGATTTCTTCGATATTTATATTGTGACACCCCTCGATAGTTTTTATGCTTAGTGTTTTCACAATAATTTAGGGCTGGTAAAATCAAACTCAATCTATTTAATTTATTTCATAATTTTTTATGAGTTGGATAGTGATTTGTTTGTTGGGTTGATATCATTTGTTGAATCGACGGATTAAATGTTTGATAATCTAATGCTCAAGTCAAGACAGTATGATTTATCAGATGAAAGTTAATATCGAATGTGACATAATGAATTTTTTTTTAGAGGTGAACAAAATTACACCTTCCAACTTTAGATACCATAATGAAAATTTCACAATTCTCAAGCTATAATTTTGGTTTAGATAATATTACTATTTCATTAATGATTGAGAAATTTAACTCTTTAATTTAGTAGTAAAAGCGAACTAGTACATAATATGTGAGTTAAACTTATGTCCCATATTAATTAACTGAAAGCGCACTACATATATAATACTATATATTACCCTTATGTAGAAGTGAGACTTAAAAAGGACTAACACTGCATTATTTTGTTGTACTAAAGGCAGTAGTAATTGTACATTTTACACAGGACCAACACTGCATTTTGGGATTGTACTAATGGTAGTGCTAATTGTACATCAATAATAAACACACTTTCTCTACAACTTTGTTCCTATAATCAGACAAATTGGTAACCCTAATTTCTCGCCTCCTTCCTACAATAGCACTATTCTCTCAACTCTTCCTTCTACTTGTGATCTCTTCAATGGCTAATACATCTGCTCCTTAGTATTTCCTCTTTCTCTACACACTTTCAATCTCTCTCTCAAGCCACAATTTCAATCTCTCTCTCAAGCCACAATTTCAATGTCTCTCTCCGCCTTTGCTGAAGATCTGGGTTTCTCTCGAACCAGCTGCGCAGGTACTTGTTCATGCTTTGACTTACTCTCCTCCTTCGTAAACTCTCTCGACTGTTCCTTCTGCTTCTCACCTCTTCGATGGTCAATCCATCTGCTGGTTGCTGTTTTCTGTTTGCCTACAGGGTTCAAATCGGACTGTCAAGCTTGTGTGATGAGAGGACGACCAAGGGCAAATAGGTAATTTTACACTTACAAATGGACAGATTTCAATTCCAAAAGCAAGATTTCTAGACCCATTCATCTTCCATCTTCTAGAAATTTTATGGCCATTTGTTTTCCAATCCTTTCTTCTATACTGTTCTACAGTCTTCTTTGCTTGCCCCAAAAAAAACTAATGGAGTGTTTATTCTATTTCCATTTCCATATGCTTCTAACAAAGTACAATCTTTGAGTTTTGTTCCTTTCATTTCATAACTGGGTCTTTCAATTGCAGGTAATTTTTTCTCTCAGTTTTTGCATTAATCCTCTTATACAATTCTTTACAAGTTCCTCAACTTAGAGAAAGGGCTGGAGGTTTGGGAGGATTTTTAGGAACAAACATATTATTGAATCTATTTTTGATTATGTTCCAGTGGATTCAAGAACCGAATCCTCTATCTTTGTATTTGCAAAATCTATAGTTTTTAAGTGATTATAATATCGATTAGGGAGGCATGGCTCAACCTCTCTCTGTCAAACAACATGGGGATAAAAGCAACAGATTTGTGTGAAGCTCTGGGTTTCTACTGTTTGTCGATAGATTGACGTTGGGCATCCATCGTCTGAACCTCGGTACGACAATCTTGCTTTATTTTTTAATCTCTATAACCTAACTGTTCTTTTTTCTCAACCAATTTGATACCGAAAATCAAATTCTTCTTTTTCTTCCTCAAGGTTCCAGTCTCATAAGCTTATCAGCAAACAAAAAATTAATTTTGCACCCGCCACTTTCATAAACCTGAAGGTACATTTGTTGAAGCTTTTTTATTATAAGCTTCCCTTGTACAAGTCAATTTGCTATTTTTTGACATTATGCAGGCATGGCTAAATGCTGATGAATCAAATGGTTGTGAATGATCTCGGCATTTTTCGGTTCATCTTCATGAGGTTCGTTTTATACAATTTTAGCCATTTAGTTTCAAGTGACAAAGATGTAGGAGTAAACGTACTTAAGATTCTTGTAATTGAAACTCTCGAGCATTAGTTCAGTTTGAGTTATTTCTGAAGATATTTTTTTGGAGATTTGTTTTATCTGTCAAACTGTTGATTCAATTCTTCAATTCTGATGAGGATATCTTTTATTGTATAGTCACAGGCTGTTGTTGTGTCTGTTGCTTATCTGCTAGGATCGAACTTCATTGTCAATTAATTTTCTATACAATTAATAAAAATAAAATTAGTGTTTATATCTCTTTTAAGAATTCTTTCCTCTTTAAATATTTTCTTGTGGAATATCAGTAATACTGCTTTGCGGAATTTGCAAGAAACTAATGAAGCACTTCAAATGATGCTTAACTATATATTAATGAAACTGAGTCACTGGATCATATGATATGGTATGTTCTTTCCCCCATTTGCTCTTTGTTTGTTATAAGGTTCTTTTGTGTAATGTTTTATTTTCTTCTATTTACTCTTTATATGAAGTGAGTTTTGAGCAAAAATCTATCATAATGAGCTATGTTTATTTAATTATTTGTTGTGGTCATATTGAAAGTGAATCACTTCATCCATCTCTTTTTGTGATCTGAAGGGCTGAAAATTACACTAAAGTCTGATGACATTAAAAGAGAATTCATGGAGTTAAAAATTTAACATTAAAGGATAAAAAATTAGATGTGTTGTCATTTAATTTTGTTTTTAGAACATGTTGTATAATTTCTTAAATTACCTGAGTGGTTCTGCAAGTGAAGATTTCTATTTGACTAGAGTATTATATCACCATAACAGTTAATTATAAGTACACCAATAAAAAAGAGTTGGTATCAATGAAAAAAAAAAATCTGACATGAGAGATTAGTACACTTGACTTGAATACAAGTTTCAAATAAACCATGAAGAGAAAACAAATAAATAATTAGCCATCTTTATAATTCTATACACAAAACAGAGAGGAAAGGGTAGGTCAAAAAGACCACAGATTACAGAAATATGAACACCAGTCATCTTTTCCTGTCCGTTGTATGGCATTTTTGTTCACTTTTCTCCATTCTTTACACACCTTATCTCAGAATCTCCCATCACATTTTATTCTATGTGTGTGTCGTACCTAGAATCTAGCAACATCTTTGACTACATACCATCCTAAATTACCCCTGCATTCATACAGTTTGCTATTGGAAGTTACTCGCTTTAGTAAACATGAATTTGTTATCTTTAATCTATCACTTGGTTGCTTTAAGTTACTTTTAGTTTATTACATAGAGAGTTGCTTACATTTTGAAAAATGTTGTTCTAAGCTTTTAACAATTATTTACTTGGTGCTCACTTTGTGACTGCGCTCTTCATTGAAAAATGTGGAAAAAATATATCTGAAATAGCTGCTACGACAATCGCAATAAGCCATCAAACAATGACACTGTGGTTTATCTGAATTACTCACCAAATCAATTAAGATCCTGACACACTTTCTACAAATTTTTAAGATCCTAGATGAAACATTAAGTATCTTTTAATTTATAGCTCGCTAATTTCTATTTTTACACTCAGTTTTAGACTTTTTAAGTTGACGATTGGTGTTTACTTGATTTTTGCAAGTATTTCAAAACGCCTCCCTGTTATGTGTTTTGGGATGTGTTAGTAAATCTTGCAGGGAATGACAAAGGAGCGTGCGTCGTACATTATGCAATTAGCCAAATTTGATGTTGTCCCTCAATACATACAAATTAACTTACCAAAAAGGAGGAAGCAGCAGTTGCTTAGTCAGCCAGCTTTCACATTTGGATCCACGAACTTAAAAATAGGTATTTTTACTCAAAGAAGGGACTGCTCTTTCACATCATCTTGTCTTTTGGTATTGCAATTTCAGTTTGATTTTTTATATGAATTTTAGACATTATCTTTAGATTCTCTTTAGATTTTCCAACATGGTTGAAGCAGTTATATTTTGACTAACTTTCACTGCGATAAATTTCATAGAGGCAAGTCAAGATGCCGGCACTATATTGATGTGTTGTGAGTTTCAACCTCTTGCTTGTTCTCCTTTGCTTTGGTGGTTAATTTCTTTAATTTTTATTATTTCAATGATTAGTCTCCCGCGGTTTCCACTCCAAGTCCACCAATCCAACATAAACCCGCCAACATCGTATTCCATAAAGCTTGTGTGCACTTACCAAACAACCCTGCCCCTTCGCCCACAACCATTAGCACACATGCCTAATAACAAGGATATCACAGTAAAATCACTTTGTTACCATAATCGAACAAACCCCATGGAATTAAGACCCCATAGTTGGACCATAATCGAACAGACCCCATAGTTGGACTGGTTATTTTTTCTTTAACTTCTTTAATAACAATTAAGAATCTACATTAACACTTTGACTAATAGTATATGAGTTTATTTGTTAGGGATGGTCTTTTTTTTTCCTTAAAGATTTTTTAGAATGTAGAAAATGATTTTTCTTGTTAATTCTGTTTATGTTGTGGGAATTTTCTGATACAATAACTGTTCAATCAGGCAGACGAAAACTCAAATCGAAATGATTAGGAAGTTGATATACGCAATGCAGAAATACTTAAAAAATGATATAACTGACCTCTTAAAATCAGGATTGGATGTGATTGGTCCAAAGGGCGGGTCACAGACGGATTTCTCAGTTATCAAAAAAATATAAAAAATCAGGATTGGATGTCAACACCTACGACATGATAATTTTCTTTTGTTGGAATTGATATATCAATATATTCCGTTATTTTATCACTTAGTTGTATTTTATATGACCTTTTTCTTTATACTGATTTGTTGCGAGTCTCAACCTCTTACTTGTTCTCCTATTCTTTGGTGGTTAATTCCATTAGTTTTTTGTATGTGCATGTTAGTTCTCCTTTAAAAAAAATGTGTTTGTGTTTTTTTTTCTCCTTGGGCACAATTTGAAATACTCCATAATGACCACAACCAATCCTAAAACCAAATACACTCTCACTAAGAATAATGGTCTATTGAGTTCTCTTCCTCTCAATGCAACTGCATTCCTTTGGTTAATTTATATGAGCTTAAGGAAAAAGAAAATGTAGAATGAGTTTTTTTCTTTCTTTATTTTCGGTGATTACTAATTGAGAATATGACTTCTATCCTATAGAAAGGCTAATGATCTAAATTTATGCATTCTCTAAGTTGGTCTTTTTCATAAGCGTCGTGCCAAGTCCAACGGGGAAACATATAATAGGATAGATGGAGTATAATTTTTTTTTATTTTTAAAATGTACTTCCAAACAAATAAGAGTTGATCAAAACTCAACAAGCAACTATGGGAGCCACTATAGGAATCCCCTTGCATTTCAAGACACATACTGTGAGAAAGATTCCGATAAGCTTTTGGCACATTCAAATATTGACAAGATGAAAGATTTTGACATTAATAGTCAATCAGACTCATTTAATTATTTAGACAAAGACGGAACATTTGAGTCCGGGGAAAAGGGAGTTACTGGAACAGTAAATCATCTTTCACATCCTGCGAATGTCCCGTCCCCTCTCTCTGGTTTGCCTGAGTTCTCTCACCTAGGTTGGGGCCATTGGTTTACTCTGAGGGACCTTGAAACTGCAACCAACAAGTTTGCTAAGGATAACATCATTGGAGAGGGTGGTTATGGCATTGTTTACCGGGGACAGCTGATTAACGGAACTGAAGTTGCTGTTAAAAAACTATTGAATAATCTGTAAGTTTCGATAGTCTTCTATTGTTACTTCAATAATTTGTCTCCTCACTTGCATATATATAAAAATATTTGACTTATGGGGTCCTTCATCTATAGAGGACAAGCAGAGAAAGAATTTCAAGTGGAAGTTGAGGCCATCGGTCATGTCCGACATAAGAATTTGGTTAGACTTTTGGGCTACTGTATTGAAGGAACTCACAGGTACACTTTTCAAAACTCTTTTGTTTCTCTTCATTACATCATATAGGCAGTAGTAACTTACTCCCTCTGTTTCAATTTATTTGTCTGGTTTTGACTTGGTACCGAGTATAAGAAAGTAAAGAGAACTTGTGAATCTCCTGGTCTTTAATTAAAGATATATAGAATGTACCAAAATATCCTTTAATCTTGTGGTCTTAAACATGCTACGTATAAAGTTGAAATTAAAGAGTTGTCAAAAAGGAAAAGAGACATTCTTTTTAAATGGATTTAAAAGGAAAGTAAAACAAACAAATTGAAACGGATGGAGTACTATCTAGCAGTGTAACTGCACTTTTTTTGTTGAAACTTGAGATTCAATCATCATCTCCCAGTTTAGGAAATAAGGAAGGGAAGGATAAGTTTTTCATGTGATATTATGGAACAGGAAAATCGATATTCCACCATCCTCTCTCGCGGCTGATGTTGGATTATATTATTTAGTTTTGGCTAATATGTTAGGCTTACCTTCTTTAGTACAACATGAAAGGAGAAAGGCTTCTGGTACTCTTTTCTTCATGTTGCTAAGAGACATATTTTATCTTGTGTCTATAAGTGGATATAGTTTTTCAGTATTAACACTTCAGACGCCACTTTGTATGGTGATCCTTGTTTTATTCAGGTTACTGGTTTATGAGTGCATAAACAATGGGAATTTAGAGCAGTGGCTACATGGAGCTATGCAACAGCACGGATATCTTACATGGGAAGCACGGATGAAGATTCTCCTTGGCACTGCTAAAGCGTGACTTTTCTTCTATTTTCAACTTAGCATTTACTATCTCATACTCCCACCGTTCCAGTTTAGGTGTCTTAGTTTGACTGAGCACAGAGTTTGGAACCAAAAGGAGACTTTTGAATCTTGTGGTGTTAACTGTGGTCCTTTGAATCCTGTGGTCTTAATGTTCCATGTAGAATGTTGGAATTGGAAAACTTACTAAATATAGAAAGAGGCATTCTTTTTGGGACGGGCTAAGAAGGAAAGTAAGACGCTTGAATTGGGATGGAAGGAGTTTTTTTTTTTGTTCTCTTATAAATGTTTTTTTATACTTTTAGTCTGGCATATTTACACGAGGCAATTGAGCCCAAGGTGGTGCATCGTGACATCAACTCAAGCAACATATTGCCAGATGATGACTTCAATGCAAAAATTTCTGATTTTGGCCTGGCCAAGTTGCTCGGTGCAGGGAAGAGTCACATTACAACCAGAGTTATGGGCACCTTCGGGTAAGTACATTCATAGAGCTATCTTGGATGAGCTTATTCTCTGTCTACACCTCGTGTTAGTCGAATATCCTTCTTTAGTCATCACTAAACGCCTCCCTATGTTTGGCCAACTTCCTCACAACAGATATGTAGCTCCTGAGTATGCAAATAGTGGTCTCCTGAATCAAAAGAGTGATGTATACAGCTACGGTGTTGTGTTTCTGGAAGCCATCACTGGAAGAGATCCTGTGGATTATGGTCGCCCTGCTCCCGAGGTATGCTCTTCCAGTGTTATTATTAGTATTTAAACATTGATCTCCATGGTTTTCAGCAACTTCATCAACCATTGTAATTGTTGTGCTAATATGCCATTTATTTGGTGTATACAGGTGAATCTTGTTGACTGGCTCAAGATGATGGTTGGCAGCAAACGCTCAGAAGAAGTAGTCGATCCAACAATCGAGACAAGGCCTTCCACAACCGCCCTTAAACGAGCTCTATTGACTACTCTAAGATGTCTTGATCCAGATTCAAATAAGAGGCCAACAATGATTTACTTAAACTGTAAATGTTTTTACATCCATTCTTCAACATATATTGAAATGAAAAATCTATTTAGGTTAGCACTAATGATTTACTTAAACTGTAAATGTTTTTACATCCATTCTTCAACATATATTGGAAATGAAGAATGTAAATTACATTCTTCCTGTTATAAGACTAGAGCAGCACTAATCTCTGTGCCTTTGTCAAATTATTACACATTCAAATGTCTTTTACTTTTCTGCAAATGCATTGTCTACCTCCCACACTTGGTAGCTTGAAAGCTTGTTATAATAGGGTTTTCGCACACACCAACATAAAGAGCTTTTATGACTGGTGCTTTCATCAGGGAATACAAGCAACTGACAGAGTTACTTCAGTTACTCTTCACATTCTATCTGCCCTTCTAGGACCATGTATTGTATTACTTAATTCATCACATTCATCATATAAATGCTACATCTTTCTGTCACCTTCTTCTGCAGTAGAACAGATCAGCAGGACTACACAATCATATGTGCTTTGCTTCTGAAACTGCAGACATATGGATGGACAATCAAATGACAGAAACCAAGACTAAAGATAACATATTGCAGTATTTAAATGCGGTAAAAAGTAGTCAGTCCGTACAGTCTCCTGCAGAAATTGGAATATACATGCAGTTAACTTTCTTATTCATACTTACATACTTTCTCTTCCATTTTGGAATATTACTATTTCGTTAATTCATTTCAAATCAATGACATCAACTATGATTCCTTTCCATAGGTTAAAACAAACATCAAAAAGACATCATAAGACAATAACTGCCCTTGCTTTTTCAATTCTGTGCATGTCCTTATATCTATAGGAATCGATTGCCAGGTAAATTTCTTTCATATAGACGTATTGTCCAGTGAGCATCTTACAAAAGATAACTGCCACTAAAGTAAGTGAAAACTTACTACAGTTGAAAGTATGTATTGACAATACAACCAATTGTTCAAATGAATACTATTTTCCTTTATCAATGAACACCGTATCTCAGGCATCATAAACTTTCAACATGAATTAATTTTTTCTATTTGCTCAACTTTTCAACTGCATTTTCAGTTGTGTAATGTGCAATTCAGCTTTCAAGTAGCCACATTCAAAAGTCTTCTAAAAGGTTGAAATATCAGCTTTCCATCAAAATGACTGACTTACTTAAGTTTGTGTTGACTTTATCTGCCCTGCTGCAACCATGTACTATATTAGTTCATTCATCGCATTGATGATATAAATGATGGATTTTTCTGTGCCCTTCTTCTGCAGTAGAACAGATCAGCAGGAATACAGAATGATATGTAGTTTGCTTGTCCAAATTGTAGTCATATGGATGGAGAATCAACTGACATAAGGCAACACTGAAGATCGCATATGGCACTATTTGAATGAGGTAAAAACTGCTCTCTAACCACAGTCTCTTTCACGAAATGGAATAAAGATGCAGTTACACTTTTTCTTCACAGTTCCACTGCACACTGCATTTGCAAATCTTCACTACAGATGAGCAAACTATCATCCATGATTCAATTTTACACTAAAAACAAAATGCTAATGCTATAATCTTTTTCCTACCATACTGACGACATCACACATGAATTCATGTATCTGTGTCTCTATATGGATGTCTCTCTATATATATATATAATATATCTATGTATATATATATAGATAAAATATATGTTTGTATATAGAGATATATATATGTGTGTATAGATGTGTATGTATGTATATATATAGATTTTTATATATACACATATATAAGGGTAATATATATATATACACATATAAGGGTAATATATATATATACATACGTACATAGATAGATACAAATTTTTAAATCCTTATTTACAAAGGAAAATAAAATTACATGTGGCTTTTCCAAAATTCAGGCAGTTTTGGCTGCCAATGAACTTATGCCAAAAATCAAAAACCAAAAACCAAAATGACATTAGATAGTCAAATGTAATAATTTGGTCTCTTTTTGGCCTGCCCAATGTACTGATTTTCTGTCTTTTTTGGCACCCTTTTATTGGCAATCAAAACCCCATTAATTTGTAACAAGACACATGTTTTTTTTTTGGTCCTTTATATAATTTCTATATTTCTAAATTTTTTTGTTATTATTATTAGATAAGGATAAGGTAATACATATTTTTTATATATGTGTGTACGTATATATAAGATATAATATATAATATTACCGTTATATATATATTACTCATACAACCTAAATTTAATGGGCTTTCATTGAACAAGAACTTCTGCTCCCTTTGACAGGTATTATTTCTTCCCTTGTCATCTTTTCCCATAGTTCGAGTCCGATTTCAAGCATAACTTCCAGTGCATACATTCTTCTACATTTTCCTTATTCTACTTTGTTATGATGTCATACACTATGCATACACTATTAGGGCAATCACACTGCCATTCAAAGGCAGCTGTAGGAATTTTTTCATCATTCCATGCTTTCCTTTCTATTTGATCCCTATATTAAAATTTCTTTACTCTAACAGACTTCATACTATCCAATTACAGGAACTCAGCCCTCCCATTTTGTCACTTTTGCTTATAATAGGGACAACATAATGGCTGACTCTCCCTATGCTCTGGTTTTTTGCATGAGGCACATTAGCTCTGGAAAAGCAAACTGCAGCATCCTCAACATATGCCATAAACAATGCCATGCTAATCTTATATAGCAAAACTGCAACATGTACTATATTATTTTGTGTATATTACTTTAGTTAGTATGTGCAAGTCATTGAACTCGACGCCATACTAATGTCTATCGTACATATTAATATAATATATAATATTATCTATCTCCTACAAGCATAATAGTTTGACTATTGGGCCCGTGCTTGCCACGGGCCTCCCCACCCTAGTTACCCTTATTTAGAAGTGCCACTTCAAAATGACCAACACTGCATCTGCTGATTGTACCAAAGGCAGTACTGATTGTACATTTAAAAGGACCAACACTGCATCTGCTCAGTGTACTAAAGGCAGTACTAATTGTACATTTAAAACTTGTACATTTAGAGGACCAACAATGCATCTTTTGATTGTACTAAACGTAGTACTAATTGTACATCAATAAACGCCTCTCTCATTTTCCATTCACTTTCTCTAGAAGTTTCTCAAATTTGTAACCCTAATTTCTCTCCCTCTCCGCTATTCTTTTTACTTCTCATCAACTCTTCAATGGTGAAGCCACCTGTTCTTTACTCTTTTGTGTTTGTGTACATCTCTCTCAAGCTTTCGTGAAGGCTTCTGTTTTTCTCCGACGAACTGCGCAGGTTCTTCGTCGTTGTTTAACCGAAATTTCAATGGCGACTCCATCTCTTCTTTACTGTTTTCTCTTTGTCTACAGACTTTAAATATGTCGCTGAAGCTTTGCTGAGGATTTTGGTTTCTCTCCTACGAGCTGCGCAGGTACGTCTTCGTCGTTTAAGCCAACCTAATTTCTCTCCCTCTCAACTCTTCGTTGTACTTTTGAACTCTTCAATAGCGAATCCATCTGTTCTTTACTGTTTTCGGTTTGTCTGCAGCCTCTAAATTTCTCGCTGAAGGTTTCTTCAACATTTCCGTTTGTCTCAACCTTTCCTGAAGATTTCTGTTTCTCTCAGACAACCTGCGCAGATACTTGTTCATGCTTTAGGTAAAATTTACATGTTTCTTCCATCGTTTGTTGTTTCTCCCATTCCTAATTTGTGTTCGGTTTTGCTCTTTCTCTGATTGTTAAATTCGCGCCTGTACACTATATTGAGCGATATTATACTGTATGCATGTACTGGAAACTTCTGATGAATAATTGCATATATTTGTCTATTACACTGTGTTCACCATCGAACCACACACTTTCAACGATAAGATATTGACATACAAACTTTTCACAATTGCGAGAAGAGCTTTTGATGCAGTCTATATCTTCATAACTTTAAAGCATGTGTTTGCTTCATTATCACATCAAAAAAAAGTGCCATTTGTTCTGCAAATGCAATTTATATCTAGAGATAAAAATTAGAAATAAATCACTGATAGGAAGAAGAAAAATACATTTTCTGGCTGTACACGTGGTTTGCTAAGAAATAGGCCTCCACAAGATTGACACACATCCCTCACGTTCTCACAGGTACCTTATGTGTTTTCTCTCATAATGTATACAATTTCAGATACCACTGATACACAACAGCCTCCACCGTATGCAGCAGCATCTTCATTACCGTCACCTTAGACCGATTGCTTCAGCTGCCAGCGCAAACCGTATATACAGCCTACCCCCTCCACAAGATTCACAGACATCCCACCGGTCATCACAGGTACCTTATGTGTTTTCCCGCATCAACTATACAATCTCCTAGACCCAAGAGCTATTGTCTCATAGTGTTGTTCCCCTGTAGCTACAACATTCCAAGTACAGTGACAATTCTTATGTCACCCATTTCTATTAGTCACTCCAGTAGGAAAGTCTCTCATAATGGTGCTACGACTAAATACTTGTACTTCATTTGTACTGCTAATTTACTGCTTCTCTTACTGATTTAGTTTCCACTGTTTGCGCATCACTTTTCATTCAACTCTTTTAATTAATGTTTCAACTTTCTGCACTTTTCTTTTTTCCACAATAGTCTAAACTGTTAATGGATATTCAAAATCATTATTGCTAGCAGTACCATTGTAGGGAAATAGTTGCTTCTAAGCTTCTCCTTACTTTCTTTCTTCAGCTTATCATTTCTTTTCCCACAGTTAAATGTCGTTACAATATAAACAGCATTTACATCTTATTCTGACATAGGCCGCAAAAAACTACATAACAAAAACAGCCACTGTAATAAAAAATACGACTTTCATCCTTTACTGTACTTTTGTTTCCCACTGTCAATTCCAAGGAAGAAGCATTGTTTGGTTACTGTTTCTTTTATTGCTTCCTACGTCCTGTATTCCTACATAACAACAGAAAGTTTGTACAAAATTGCCAACTTCTGTACTATCTTCACATCCAAACTAACAAAATTTATTGCCTTTTCTTGCAGATTTTCTACAACATATTCCTTTGTGAGTGAATGATACAAAAGGTACATCATTTGTTTCTGCTACATGTTTGCTGTTTATATATTTACCCCCACCAAATATATTTGAAAGCTGTATCCTTGCTTTGCATCTACTTCCACTGTAACTTGTTCCCATTAGTTAAACTTTCTGTTCTTACCTCATTGGTGTTGAATGTACTTCCACGCTCATAAGACTGCTGTCTCTGTTTTTAGCTATTCCTTATTTGGTTTTTTAATACACCATACAATGTTTATTATGCTTATGCAGTTTATATGTCATACGCCCCAATAGTAACAACTACAACTGTAAAGTGCTATACTTGTTCCACATACTCTCATAGCCTTCAAATTAGAGTTCACCAAAATTTCAGTTCTCCACTTTCTCTATTGATAATGGACAGTCACAGATTTTCCTCTTCTGTTTGTATATGAGCAGTTCTTTTCACGCAGAATCAACGTCTGAGCTAAAAGGTAGTATATTCATAATTTTACGTTGCAATACACTGCCCATGTTTCGTTGCACAACATCAAACTTATGGCTAAAGGCTAACATTGCTTTTCTTTAACAAAAATGCTTACATACTTCACATTCAGTACTTCCTCTTTTCTTTCTTCAACTTCTGCTTCAGATTTCAATTACCCAAAATATAATGCTTTCTATTCCTGCCTCTTTCCTTCTTTCCATTTACGAATGGAATCACTTCACACAATGCCTCACAAATGTGGTACTTCACTGCATTGTAGCCTGTAGGCTTAAAGAGGCTACGATAATGTTGCTCTAATATCACACGATAACGGAAGATAATTATAAAAGCATAAAAGTCACTTGTAGCACCAATAGAAAATGCAGCCTTCACATGATAAAATGACTATACAACAAACTCCCACGTTTAGCAGTGTCACACCAAATGTTTACACTGAAAGCTGAATCACTTCAACTCTGCTGCTATACCTTCATTTCCAGAATTATGCCTAATTATTTTGTATATTAGACACTTATAGCTGTCAAATAGTCATGTGTATATATAATATATATGCATGTGCAAATAAAAACAGATTTAAAAGGCACACACAGTTTACTTTTATACTCTATCCTAACTTGAGTCTCCACTTTTTCTGGCTTCCTCTGCAAATTAATAGAGCAACTTTCCCACATCTGTTTGTCCCACCTCTACGTAGTGTCGACTTTCTGCCCAATATTTAACTCGTTCCTGCCTTCTCCATTTCGCTGCACACAATTGTTTATGATCTTATCTAATAAAGTTCTTCAAATTGTACAGCAACTACTATGAAAGATCTTAATTTCTTGCCTCTTTTCTTCCCCTACAGGAAAATTCTAAATCCACTGTTTACCACTGTTCACATTTCCCAAGAACACAGAAAAGCTACACTCAGTTCAGGTAACAATTTTATTTTTCTTTCGGTTGAACAGATAATTTTATCAATCAGTGTAGCAATTCTTTATAGCTATTACTATAACCTTTCTTATGCTTTACATCAACCATAAAAGTAACATTTCCATGGACTTCCATGATCTTCATCTTTATGTTTACCTTACTCTCAATATCAGTTTCTTGCATTAATGAGTTCACTCAATTACCTCAGCAACACGTTTTCACTATCATGTGCCTTAAATCTGTTCATCTGGCTACACAATTCTTATAACCGCTTGAACATAGAGGTCAGTTATTATGAATACTTAAACTGCACAGTTCATTATGCAGTTAATTACAATATTATTGCACTTTACCTGTGGCTGGGTTACATTAACTCCATTAGAACATTATGACTGCATACATGATAAATACCATACTGCCAATATTCTCTATAGATACATTACTTTTTCATCCGGCCTGTAAATTTGTTATACGCTTTCTTACAATATTATGTGAATAGGTATGTCTAATTACATAGCAACTATGTTTACTGCAATTTTGTTAGGTATACAATATTACTTTTCCTTTCCCTTAACTCGTGCCACCAACTAAATCGTTTCTTCTTAGCAATTGTAAACATCATTAAATAGCTGCAATAATTATATTGCTTTACTGATGTCTGAAACAACCTAATTACGTTCTGCTTTCACCTCCCATTCTTCAACTGATCAAAACTGTCCAACACAATAATAAGAACACATTCGTCTTTCCCACCAACATAAACTTTTTTATATGCCTGTTGAACTACCACAGTAGTTTCAAAATATCAAAACATCTTCTACTGCATATGTTATGTTTCATTTGTCGTATTCTACAGTCTTATGGCTTCAAACACACCATATGATTTACTTACTGTAGCAACAACTACTCATTCAATCAACTGAATTTATTCTTTATGCATACTTCCATCTAAATGTTGTACTACTTATATGATGCTTGTTATTGCTGCATATTACACTACTGCTGCCAAACGCCTCTTCTGGGTTAGCTGTATCTACTTTTCCCACATTACATTACGCTATAACTTCTTTTAACTAATCATCAACTAATTGAAACAGCAATGGAAGAAAATACAAATAATATGCCTACCCAGGAAACGACTTCTGACAGAAATTTGCGTCGCCGTACTAGATATGCACAAATGTCACTGGAGAAAAAACAATTCCTTTTATCCCAGCTAAGAGAAAAAAGGGCTACATCAAAAAGGCAAAAAAACCTTCACCAATCAAATAGTACTGCCGCTCTAACAATTAGCATATCTTCTTCTGTTCCTGAACAAGGTTACCTACGCATATTCTTATCGTCCTTCCATAAAATCTCTCTTCTGAATATCTATAGCTATAGTTACACGATTCAACTAACGCACTATTAATACATTTCTTTGCCGCACTTTGTGCTTGCAGCTTCCAAAAATACAATTGTACCATCTGATTCACCTACAGGAGAGCATGTACTTACTTGCTTACCTACTTCTGAACTAGGTCAGTTTTGACATATCACTTCCACTATTTTTACTATATTCATTTTTACTAATTACGTTGTTATTTGTAAATGTTTCTATTCCTCCAAATAGATGGAACTTTCCCAATAGGAAGAGCCAAGCATTGTCCTTTTTTCTTAACTAGAATCAATTACTACGCATATTCTTATCTTCTTTTTGTACAATCTCTCTTTTGAATATCTATAGCTATACTTACACGATTCAACTAATGCACTATTAATACGTTTCTTTCCCGCACTTTGTGCTTGCAGCTTCCAAAAACACAATTGTACCATCTGATTCACCTACAGGAGAGCATGTACTTACTTGCTTACCTACTTCTGAACTAGGTCAGTTTTGACATATCACTTCCACTATTTTTACTATATTCATTTTTACTAATTACGTTGTTATTTGTAAATGTTTCTATTCCTCCAAATAGATGGAACTTTCCCAATAGGAAGAGCCAAGCATTATCCTTTTTTCTTAACCAGAATCAATTACTACACATATTCTTATCTTCTTCTGTACAATCTCTCTTATGAATATCTATAGCTATGCTTACACGATTCACCTAACGCACTATTAATACGTTTATTTCGCTCACTTTGTGCTTGCAGCTTCCAAATATACAATTGCACCATCTGCTTTACCTACAGGAGAACATATAGTTACTTGCTTATCTACTTCTGAACTAGGTCAGTTTAGAAATATTACTTCCACTATTTTCCCTATATTCATTTTTACTAATTACGTAGCTATTTGTCAATATTTCTATTCCTTCAAATAGATGGAACTTTCCCAATAGGAAGAGCCAAGCATTATCCTTTTTTCTTAACCAGAATCAATTACTACGCATATTCTTATCTTCCTTCTGTACAATCTCTTTTCTTAATATCTATAGCTATACTTACACGATTCAACTAACGCACTATTAATACATTTATTTCCTGCACTTTGTGGTTGCAGCTTCCAAAAATACAATTGCACCATCTGATTCACCTACAGGAGAGCATATAGTTACTTGCTTATCTGCCTCTAAACTGGGTTAGTTTGGAAATATCGCTTCCACTATTTTGACTATATTCATTTTTACTAATTACGTAGCTATTTGTAAATATTTCTATTCCTTCAAATAGATGGAATTTTCCCAATAGGAAGAGCCAAGCTTTATTCTTTTTTCTTAACCAAAATCAATTTACATGTATGAATAAAACTAGGCTGCTTTCAAATGGTCACAAGTCATTTGCAAATGCATATAATATGTGTTACTTTTTTCCCATATTGTCTCTTCAGTATATTTTACTGCTAATAGTAAATCATCGTGACACTATTGTTTAGTCTTCACAAATTTTTGGACCATATAGTGTTTTTACTGTCGCACAATATTTGCAATAGTTATCTCCCTTTACTAACAGTGCGACACAACCTAATGAACTCATGTTCTCCCTTTCCATTATTCCAATGCTTCAAATTGTTCTACATAATACTAACAATGGATTCATCCTTCGTAGCAACATCAACTTTTCCATATGGCTATTGAACTACCAAACTACCTTTACACTATGAAAACATCTTCTATTTGATAAGTTTTGTTCCATTTGTGGTACTCTACAGTCATATGGCTTCAAACACAACAAATGATCTACTCATTGTACAAACAACTACTCATTCAATCAACTGCAGATGTTTTTTATGCATTATTTCCTCAAAATGTTGCGCTGCTCATATGAGTCCATATTAGGCTGCTGCTGTGACGAGCCTTTTTTCCCCCTATTCTATGTATTTTTCCCCCTTTACATTACGTTGTACGCTATTTTAACAAATCATCAATTACTTGAAACAGGAATGGAAGAAAATACAAATACTGTGCCTACCCAGGAAACAACTTCTGACACAAATTTGCGTCGACGTACCAGATATGCACAAATGTCACCGGAGAGAAAACAGCTGCTTTTATCCCAACTAAGAGAAAAAAGGGCTGAATCAAAAAGACAAAAAACCTGTCGTCAATCGAATAGTACTGCTGCTCTTGCAATTACCAATCCTTCTTTATCTCCTGAAAAAGGTTACCTACGCATGTTCTTATCTTCCTTTGGTCAAATCTCTCTTCTCAATTTCTATCGCCATACTTACACGGTTTGGCTGACGTACTGTTAATAGATTTATTCTCCTCATTTTGTACTTGCAGCTTCGAAACGTACAAACGTCCCATGTTCTTCAACCAGAGGAGAACATATAGTCACTTGCTTATCTACCTTCGAACTAGGTCAGTTTAGAAATATTAGTTCCATTATTTACTCTATATTCACTTGTCATAATTACTTAGCTATCTCTAAATATTTGTGCTCCTCACACTAGGATCAACATCAACTACATGTCATGTTGCAAGCAAATTAAATTCAAGACGTGCTGCAAATAAAGGTATGCATGTTTCTACTAAAATAATTAAAAACAATGCAATCTTCTGACTTTATATGTAACAACTCAATGCTTTTTACGACGCACAGGCAAAGATAAGTTAGAAATCAATCTACAAAATGATAATTTAATGCCAAAAGATTACTTGCTTTTAAAGAAAGTTCCAAATTGCAAATTCTGTGTAGCAAAAAGGTTTCAATATGAATCACCAGGTTTTTGTTGTGATAATGGATCAATTAAACTAAGCTCTCATAACATGCCTACTGATTTGCGCAATTTCTTCTTGGGTGATTCTAAAGAATGTCAACATTTTCGTACTTACAGTAGAGCCTACAATAACATGTTTTCCTTCACTTCACTTGGAGTACATTATGATAGAGAATTGGCAAAGAGAAATCATGGTATTTATACATTTAGAGTCCAGGGACAAATGTATCACTTCATTGATGATTTGATACCCTCAACAGGAAAAGCAACAAATTTACAGTTATATTTCTATGATAATGAAAATGAGCTAACAAATGGAATGACGTTATCAGCTAATCTTAATGAGCTGATTATTACGAAGCTCATAGATATCCTCAAACTTAATCCTTATTCTACTTTTTTGAGATCGTTAACAGTTGTTCCAAATTTATCTGAATTTTACATTGCTCTAAACTCAACTTCCAATTTAGACCAAAGAACATATAACTTACCAACTGCATCCGAAGTTGGGGCAATTTGGATTGAAGATCAATTAAATGATAAAATTCCCACACCACATATTCGAATTTACACTCATAGTAACAAAACCCAATTGGTCAATTACTATTATGGTTGTTATGACCCACTACAGTATCCATTATTGTTTCCTTATGGTCAAAATGGCTGGCATTGTGGTATTAAAAAAATCAACAACACATATACTTATTCCAAAACTACAAACGCTTCTGAATATGACCAACTACCAAGTATAAACAATATCACTTCTATTGATACACTCCTTCACATCAAATCTACAGTTTTATCAAAAGGATTAAGAAAACGAGACACTGTTTCTTGTCGTGAATATTATTGTTATAAATTTCAAATAAGAGATGAAGAACCAAATGAAACTTTACATTCTGGAAGAGTATTTCAACAATACATAGTTGACCAATATATCAAACTTGAGACACAAAGATTAGATTTTGTTTCATTTAATCAAGATCTCTTTAGAGTTGAAGCCTTTCAAGGAATTCTTGATTTATTAAGGCAAGGAGAAAGAGATGCTTCCAATATTGGCAGACAAAAATTCCTTCCTGGTAGTTTCATGGGAGGCCCAAGAGATATGCGACGAAGATATATGGATGCCATTGCTTTGGTACAACATTTTGGAAAACCCGACATATTTCTGACGATGACTTGTAATCCTTGTTGGCCTGAAATACAGGAACATTTACACCCAATGGAACAAGTTCAAAACAGACCTGATTTAGTTAGTACAGTATTCAGAGCAAAAGTAGAAGAACTTAAAACAGATATTCAAAAAAGAAACATATTTGGAAAGATTGCAGCTTTTATGTATACAATTGAGTTTCAAAAACGAGGTCTTCCACATGCCCATTTTCTCATTATACTTACTGATAAATATAAATTGCTAACACCACAGTCATATGATAAAATTGTATGTGCTGAATTACCTGATCCTCATATTGATCATCATCTATACAAACTTGTGACCAAGCACATGATCCATGGTCCTTGTGGCAATTTGAATCCTTCAAATTCTTGCATGCAGAAAGATGGCAAATGTAAGTTTAATATCCAAAGCAACTTACCGAGCAAACAACCAAAGGAAAAAATTCGTATCCTCTTTACAAGAGACCAAAAATGATCACACCAATCAAAGTTAGAGGACACAACATTGATAATTCGTGGACTGTCCCGTACAATCCGTTTTTGCTTAAGAAATTCAATTGTCATATTAATGTTGAAATATGTTCTGACATTAAAGTTATCAAATACATTTACAAATATATTTGCAAAGGACATGACAAAATTGCATTCTCTGTACATAATAATGATACTAATGTAGAAATAGATGAAATCAAAGAATACCAATCTGCTAGATGGGTTTCTCCTCCAGAAGTTGCGTGGCGTCTCTTTGCTTTTTCAATAAGTGAAATGACTCCAGCTGTTTGCCAATTGCAAGTACATCATGATGGACAACAATTTGTTTCTTTCAAAAATAACCAAACTATCAATCAAATAATGAACAATCCAATGATAAAGAAAACAATGTTAACAGAATTTTTTGTTATGAACAAAATTAATAACGATGCTATAAATCTAAATTTACTATATAAAGAGTTTCCCCAACACTTTGTATGGTCATCATCATACAAAATGTGGTCACGCCGAAAACAACGCCTTACTATTGGACGTATTGTGACGTGTCATCCAACCGAAGGAGAAAGATATTATCTTAGGTTGCTTCTAATGAACATAAGAGGACCAAAATCATACGAAGATCTACGTACAATCGATGGAAAATATTACACTACATTTAGAGAAGCTGCAGAAAAAAAAGGGTTATTACATTCTGATAACAACTTAATTCAGTGTATGTCTGAAGCTGTAAGCTATCAAATGCCTTATAGTTTAAGAAGATTATTTGCAACATTATTAGTTTTTTGTAATCCCGGTAACCCAAAAGATCTCTGGAAAAAATATGAAGACTCTATGTCAGAAGATTTTAAACGAATTTCAACTATGACCAACAAAAATATGCAGCAGTCAGTTTTAAATCATATCAATGAAGTACTACTTTCAATGGGACATAACATAAATGAATTCAAAGATATCTTTGGAAATGTTAGCTTCTGTAAAACAACAAGTGAGGCCAAAGAAATATATTTCGAAAGAAATATAATAGTCTCTGAAGAAGATATACATTTACAAAGCAAATTAAATGTTGAACAAAAAAGGGCATATGATATAATTCTTGCAAGAGTATATTCCAATAAATCAGGAGCTTTTTTCATTGATGGTCCTGGTGGAACTGGAAAAACTTTTCTCTATCGAGCTTTGCTGGCTGCTATAAGAACAAAAGGATCCATAGCTTTGGCAACTGCAAGTTCAGGTGTCGCAGCTTCAATACTTCCAGGAGGACGAACAGCTCATTCACGTTTCAAAATTCCTATTGACATCGATGAAAACTTCACTTGCAATATTAGTAAACAAAGTTCACTAGCTACACTAATTCGAGATTCAAAGTTAATTGTTTGGGATGAAGTGTCAATGGCAAAAAGAAACACCATTGAAGCTCTTGATACACTTTTAAAAGATCTTATGAATACAAGAACACTTTTTGGTGGAAAAGTTGTAGTTTTTGGAGGAGACTTCAGACAAACACTTCCTGTTGTTCGTAAATGGGAAAAAGGAAGACTTTATTACTCAAAGTTTTATTATACTCTCATATTTGGAATCATCTAGAAAAATTTGTGCTTATCTGAAAACATGCGTGCAAAAAAAAGATCCAGCATTTTGTGCATATTTAATGAGAATTGGAAATGGACAAGAGAAAACTAACAACAACAACAAAATTGAAATTCCCAATAATTTTGTTATTCCCTTTACAGAAGAAATAGAATCTTTGAATCTTTTGTTTAATGTAACATATCCTGATTTCCAAACATTCTATTCTAATCCATCATTTATAACTTCCCGTATTATTTTGACAACAAAAAATGATTTTGTTGATGAAATAAATGACATGCTTATACATAGATTTCCCGATGATGCTACAGTTTATACAGCTATTGATGAAACAATAGAACCAACTGATCAGTGCCAATTTGAAGATTTCTTGCATACCTTACATCCTGCTAACTTACCACCTTATAGATTAACTTTGAAAAAAAATTGTCCAGTTATATTATTAAGAAACTTAAATCCTACTGAAGGTTTATGCAATGGTACACGATTGATATGTCATGATTTTAAATCACATGTTATCAGTGCTACTATTTCCAGTGGTGATTTTACAAATAAACATGTCTTCATTCCAAAGATACCATTACTAGCATCACAGGATGAGAAGTTACCAGTTCCCTTCAAGAGAACACAATTTCCAATAAGATTATGCTTTGCAATGACTATAAACAAAGCTCAAGGTCAAACATTAGATTTGTTGGAATATATTTACGTGAACCTAGTTTTTCGCATGGACAACTTTATGTTGCTTTATCTCGAGCAAAATGTTCGAACAATGTGAAAATATTAATACGCCCAGCTACAACAGAAGACACAAATGATCATTCTACATATAATGTGGTTTATCAAGAAATTATTCAAAAAGCATTCTCGTGATACATTTAAAACAAACAAATGTAACAACTACGCACCCTCATGCTACACATTCTTAAATTTCAGATTATTTTACTTTAGCTGTTTTTAAATGTAAGTAAGATTATATATTTATCTACTTTTTATGTATTCTCAATCAGCATCAACTTTTCGTCATCTATATATAAAATATATACGTTCTATCCATTCTTTCTTATTTTCTTTAACTGGAAATTGTTGTTTGACACAAAAAATGACAGCCAAAGTTTGCATCAGAAACGTTTGGAGGACATAAAGCATTTTCATCTACTCAAATACAATTTTCACACTTAAGTCAACGTACATTACTACTGAATGACGTTACAGGTAATGTACAAACACTTTTTTAATCATTATTTTACTGCAAATCATTTCAATATATATATATATTTTTCTATTTAGGCATATTGAAAACGAAGGAATGTTCTAAATCTTTTGTGATTAACTTTCAATAGATTTTGCGATGACTACTAAGACAAAAACGGTCATTAACTCCCTTACTACAGGCACATGGAACTCAACAAAGGCGCACGACTTCAAAGTAATGGTTTCCTCCTCTATTTCACAAGCTTCCTCTGTACCAAAACTTATTTCATATCTCAAATCAACTTCTGATGATAAAGAGTTTTCTCTACTTGAAGGAATTCTAATGAACCATGAAAAACAACTGTACACAGAAATTCACACTGTTAAGAGAGATTTTAATTCTCCAAAATATTGACCAAAATTTAGCAAAGATGCCTTTCATCAGGATCTTCGTCGGCACCAAAAGCTTTACTATTTTCTTCTACAACATCATCATCTTCCGCTTCCAAATCTTGTACCATTTTATGGATCACTGAGATATCCACCACAGCATATTTAGCAGCTTCTTCCTCCTGAAGTGATACTCTACTTTCCAACTCTTTCAAATTTTCCAAATACATCTTTACTTTTGCTTCAACTTCAACTTTTCCATTTTTTAGCACCTCATTTTACCTTTGCATATCCTTCAATTGATTCTCCATATTTGTGTTTGTCAAATATTGACAATCAATTGAAGAATATCCAAAGGAAAAAGAACAACCTAAAAAAGGGGAAAACTAAAGTTAACGCTTTAGAAAAGTCCTAAGATTTTCAAAGTACAGTATGACTTCAGGAGGAAGAAGCTGGTAAATATGCTGCCGTGGATATCTCAGTGATCCAAAAAATCCTACAACATTTGGAAGTGGAGGATGATGATGTTCCACAAGTGAATAATAAAGTTTTTGCTGTTGATGAACATCTTCAGGAAAAGCAATTGTCACCGCCTATGGCTCCATCAGTTGATTCAATAGCATATGCAAATGGAAATGGAACTTCTAAATCAACAGATAAAGGTATTATTATGCTTATATTTGTCTACTCAACCTTTTTTTTTACAGTTATGTACTGAATTTGTGTATGCTTTTCAATTTCAGTTACAAACTTACAGTTATTCAATGATACTTTTTGTGCTATTCTTAACCTTTACTTATATATGCATCCATCTTCTCATTTTGGCTTCACATTCGCGCTAAACCTAATTCCTAACTATTTATGTGAAACTGCCAATGTCGTAGACACTGATATGGTAATCGCGTCTAGCGAATCTGCTTTGTATTCATTTTTTTTTCCCAAACTAGAGGATTAACAACGGTCACACGGTTGTAGCTGCAGCCAGTGGTAAGACAAACTTCATTTCAACAAAAATGAAACTGCTTAATTGTGCTGATATCCACACATTGGATCCCATGCCTTGTGCTGCTCATTCTGTTGAACTCAATACCAATGTTTCCAACATACAAAACAAAAGACGCCATTCAGAAGAAGCAGGTACAGACGATTTGTCATGCTTATTCTTACATTTCTGTTCTTATTTGTGCCATTGAACCCACATCTGAAGTTGTTTCTGTTTGACAACTGACAATATCAATCTGTTGCCTTCTTTCTTCACAATATCAATCCTTTTTCTATGTAAATTGAGCAACATATTTGCTTCTATATGCTGCATACTGTAGAGAGACAACAGTCCAAAGATCTTCATTCTCTATGGAATTTATTATTGTTCGTTTGACAATCTTTATCAAGCATACTTCATTACAGCTTCAGCTTAGTCAAACAGCATAGGGTCTTTACCTTCTATCACATAACATTAATTCAAAAGTAAATGCAAGCTATCCTTTTCAATTGCTCTCTCAACCTCTTAAAATTATTGTAGCAGCTTCACATATTTGGGAATTACAAATGTCAAATCCTTACTGTTGAAAAAGCAGCAAATAAACTCAGTTAGAAAGAGCAATACAAGGTACAACTAGAAGACTGACTTAACTAAGTCTGTGAGTTCTATCAAAGGTACATACTTTTTTCCTCTTAACCATATTCTCTCTAAATTTACAGATCAGCTTTGGTGAAAAATTAATCATCTATATTTGCTTACAACTTAATTTCTTTACTTTTCAAATATGTACAAAGCATTACCATTTTTCTTCCACTTAGTATACCTAATTCTCACCATAGTCATATACGCTTGAATGATTCACATTTAAAGTGCCTAATAATGTCAAATACACATTTATGAATTTCGCTTACTGTAGGAAAAAAGTAGAACGACTATCAGTAAAGTTTCAGATGCAGTAAAGGAAAAGCCAAAGGCACTGAAAATACTCATTAGTCAGAGGTATATAACATGTAATCTTACATTCAGTTTTGCCACTGTGATATTATATTTTTTAAGTATTTACTTTGCTTAAAATTTAAGACTACAACACACATGTTCATTGTAACACTACCTTTCTCTACTCTTTTGTATTTCACCTGTCACCAATTCAAACACACAGTTCAATAGAGTCAGGTACACCATACATTGTCTTATTTTCGTTGCACTTTTAAACTTCTTCTTCTTCCTAATTTTGACAACACAGACTTATATATATCCTAAACCACATACTTTCTCTTCCATTGTACGTCACCCTTTTCCAATTTCGACAAAAGATGAATGTCTTTACTCAACTTCTCACCATGAACATAACAATAATGTACAGGAACATGACCAAAGTGCTGCAACAATCAGATTGTACGCACTGCTACAATCACCTGCCACCTCATCCCTAATGTAGATGCTGAAATACCAATACTACAATAGGTATCACAATTTTCTATTGCTTTTACAAACCCTTTCAAGGTCTATTTCTTCTAAACATTTGTAAACTAATATTAGAAACTACCTGTTTCCTACTTCAGTGCTTCATTGTATTTCAGTAATAGTTTGCTTACAAGTTTACATTGGTAACAATATAGTGACAACTTTGTACTCTGTAGGTAACACATATAGTTCCTGATTTTACCAGTTATACTTACTTCAACTAAAAATTACATAGTAAGTACATGTAGTAATGAAAAGAAGTTCACTGTGGACTTGAGCAATTTTTGCTCTTTATAGGTTATTATTTTAGCTAACGATAAACTACTCTCTGGTTCTCTCTACTTCCTACTTTATTGTCACTTTTAATTGCTCTATTAGGATTCTCATTCTCAGACAGTAATGTTAATTTCACATGTAAAAAAAATATAGTGACAATATATTAAGAACTATTGTTGTGTTCAGTTTTCTCATCAACGATACACCTACGTTAACTACATTACATATTAATAACTTTGAAGTCAGACAGGAATTATCATTCAAAATAAATATATTAACACTAATCAGTCATTATTGAACTTAATCAACTATTAGCTGATCCAAACATGCATTGACATGACCATATTAGGCAAAATCAGCATCACAAACAAAGGGTATATTCTATTAGCAAGGGACAAGGCAAGTAAATAGCGTTCTATAGATGTAAAAGAAAGAGGATAGAGGGAGAAGAAATTGTTCGCGGGTGAAACTTGCGAAAAAAAAATGATAAATGATATGTACATAGTCATAATTCAGGTAGGAAAACAAAAGAACAACAACCAAATGTTCACATACAAATCTCACAAAAAAGTAATAGCTCAGCTATGTTTAATTATACCAAACTTTTTCTCTTAGTAGATTATTATTTCAACTGATGATATCATTCTCAGTTACTTTTTTCTTGGTCTAATTGTAATCAATAAACAACCCTTTACTTCTCTCTGATTTCTTCTTCCCTCTCACTATTATTTGTCTATTAGGACTCTTCATTCTCAAACATTACGTATGACTTGTCCACCTGTATCCAGTACAACATAAAAGCATTAGTATTTCTCTTATAATACATAGATGGTAATAGTATGGGTAACAAAAGAATATGAGAACTTCAGAATAACCAATCGTTCACGTGTTAAACTGGCGAAAGAGTTATTAAAAGTGATACATACATGTTCATACTTGAAAGTAACAAATAATTTATATGAACAAGCAAATGTTCAAGCGTCTGACTTGCGAAAAAGTAATAGTTCAATTGTATTTCCTTCCATTATCTCTTCAGTTTACTTGTCAAATGTCGATCTCATAATCAAGGAACTTACCCACTGAAATTGCATGTAATTACAGTGCAAAAAATTTCAGCTGTAATATTGACTTTGTTGACTCAATCATGTATTCCTCACTGTTTCACTTTTCGGGCTTTCTTACTTTGCTGTCATAGTCTTTTGCTCTATAAATACAAATTATCCTTTTTCCTCAATAGCAATTTTATATGCCACAATGTTTGCTTGACCTACATTATTATGTTCTCATTAGTCCCTAGCAGCTGTCATTCCATGTCTATGTATGCTGAAAAAGAAGTTTGAAGTTCTAGCCTCCAATTTACGTGACTTCTATGTTGTTTGAAGTTCATTCAAAAAACGCTTGCTCAATACATGAGTGCAACATAATTCAACAAGAAAGGAGATTTTTTATAAAATTTGTACCACATGTTAAAGAGGCCAACCAGAAAGAGGAGCAACCTCTTCTTCGTTAAAACCTTCTCTACTGAAGAGACAACTACATTGGAGAATCATCATACGCTCTAAGATGTTAACCTAATGTCTGAACATATATATTTGTGTGTGCCATGAATCTATTATTTGCACTTTCACATTTTTCCTACTTTCATTCACATGCCATTTCACTTTTCTGCTAAGTAGAGTAATTTTAGAAATAAAATGTTCGTTTAAACTTTACTTCTGACTGATATAATACATGATTACTCCACCTTCTGTAGGATTTTTTAGCTCACATTTCTCCAGCTAAGGAAACGACGGCTATTCTCTTGACTGACAGACGTAAGTTCCTCCATTTCTATGTTGTACATATTGCATTAGATTAATATACTGTATTTGTTGCCCCAATTAAGTCAAAACAACCAGGCTAGAATAAAAAGCCAACTTCCAAAGAACACTAAGCAAATACTGCTGCCAAATTCACTACTCGAAGTTATTCTATAATGCAAAACAGAATAACACTATTCTTCTTCACTCTTTGAATCTAACACACATTGAACTCTCTAGAGAATCAGCTGGTACTATTTGTTGGCAAAATGGTTTAACAGCAAATTATCAGGTATGTCATACTGTGTAGTACAAGCAGATGAGCTGGTCTTCAGTCTTCAATACACAACCCTAAAAGCACATCTCCTATGGTCCTCGACCCCTAAACTTCATGCTCCTCGTTAGTTGGACCATTGACTTGTATCTGTCCACAAAATTTGATGGCAAGAATCAAGATGGTCCAGGACTATCTTTCCTTTGAAAGCTTTGAGCTTGTTTAGTTGTTGCCAAGCATGCTTTCCACCCTTTTTTGATCTCCTTCTGGATATAACTATCCTAGGATCACCTTTTGTTGGTGTCTTAATAACAAAAGTTACTCCTTACCAATCAAAATAAAGAGGGTCTACTTCCTAATTACAATGTTTGGGGCATGTCAGTCCAACTTCGTATTCTCTAACAACATGTTCTTTATTTTCACATCAATAGCAAACTGCCAGAGACAAAATCTACAGGAATATCACCAAACTGCTGGAACAATAACATTGTAGACACCGCTTCAATCAGCTCACATCTCATCGCTAATATAGATTCTGAAGTACCAATACTGCAACAGGTATCACAAGTTTCTATTTGTTTTCAAATCCCTTTCAGGGTTTATTTCTTCTAAACACTTCTCAACTAATATTACAAACTTTATTCCCATTGAACAGGTACTGCATAAGACATATACATGTTTCCAGCTAAAGTCAGACGCACAATAATTGAAACAATGGTATCTCAGGTTAGCACTAATGACTTACTTCATTTTAAAAGTATTTTACATCCATTCTGACTGTGTAGTATATTAGTTATTAATTCATCACATTCATGATATAAATGATACATGTTTCTCTGCTCTTCTTCTGCAGCAGAGCAGATGACCAAGACTGCACGATGATATCTGCTTTGCTTGTGAAATTCCACTCACATGGATGGACAATCAACTGACATAAAGCAAGAATGAAGATCACATATTGCACTATCTGAATGACCAAAAAAGTCTTCACTACCTACAGTCTCCTTCAGAAATTGGAGTAAAGATACAGTTAGCTTTCTTCTTCACACTTCAACTACATACTGCATGTTCAATTCTTCACTATAGATGACCAAAATATCTTCTTTGATTCAATGTTACAGTAAAAAGAAAATGCTAATGCTATAACATTTTTCCTACCAAACTGACGAGATCACACATGGTTTCATGTGTCTGTCTCTGTGAATATATATATAAATATATATATAAATATATATATATATATATATATAGAGACACAGAGAGAGAGAGACAGATATATATATATATATCTATATATTATATACATACATAAGGGTAATACACATATACATAGATACATAGATGCATACATAAATATTTTCTATCCTTATTTACAAAGGACAAAAAAACTACATCTGTCTTTTCCAAAATACAAGCACTTTTGGCTGCCAATGAAATGATGCCAAAAAAACAAAAAAGTATTACATTAGGTAGTCAAATGTAATAATTTTGTCTCTTTTTGGCCTGCCCAATGTACTGATTTACTATCTTTTTTGGCACCAATTCATTGGCAACCAAAACCCCATGAATTTCTAACAAGACACATGTTGTTTTTTTGTCCTTTATAATTTCTATATATATTATAATTTCTATATATATTTCTAAAAATATTAAAATAACATATTAGATAAGGGTAAGGTAATATATGTGTGTATATATATATAATATATATAGTATATATAATATTACCCTTATATATATATTACTCATATAACATCAATTTAATAGCCTTTCATTCAACAAAAACTTTTGCTCCCTTTCTCAGGTATTATTTCTTCCTTTTTCATGTTTTCCCACAGTAGACACTAAG